CCTGAGTGAATTATTGTCAACAAACGTGGTCTTTAAGTGTCCTCACTACCAGTTTAAGCTGTCATCTTCCAAGTTATCTTGTTTTTTTCTTTCACTCACTGTCCCTGAAAGGCGTCTCTTCTCATTTATGTGAAAACCTGGTGAAATAGGAGCCTGGAAATGCTCCCTTTGCTTAGAGGAGCACGCACTTTACAGATGCATCTGTTTGTGTTTCGTTTCTCAAACTGGCTTTACAAGTTTTTTTATCACATTGTTGTAACTTTACAAGCAAAAATGTTTGACGTCCGAAATTAAAAAAAGGCCTTTCAGCCTTTATGGGTGTAGCGGCTAAAATCCTGTATTTTAGGCTACTGGTTGTTGACAGTTGAAGGCGTTGGTCTTACGTGTGCTCTATTAAGAATTCCGGACGCCAGTCTTTGTTTTGATTTATGATAAAGTCGTTTATTGTTTGCATAATGTCCATCGTTGCTATTTCCATTGCAATTCATCTACATTCTGACATCGAACCTCAACCTAAAACACAGTAGAAAAACTGTTGCCCTTTCTTATCAACAACACCTGAACACAATCATGGTAGACCTTAAATAACCCATCCCCCATTAGACACACAGAACTCCAAATGAAATACGCCCCCTGGTGGCGATAAACGCAAAAAACGCAGGTTTCCTCTTAAACGTGACTGATTTTACACTTCTGTCATGGTTTAAGTGGCGATATGATGCCAGAGGCTTCTGACTTTCCAGGGCTTGTTCAAGTTTAAGTGCCCGGCCCTGAAGGAGGGCACGCTGCAGCAGTGCGGCGCCCTGTGGCCGTACCAGGAGGTGCGCCGGCTGGCCGTGCTGACCGCCCAGGAAATGCACGACTTCGAGCAGAAGATCGCCCGTCTGGCCGCCAGCGAGTTCTGCGACTTTAAATCGGTGAGTGAAACCCGAACGAGCCCCAAGAAAAGCTTCACCGGTGCAGAAACAGTCAACGGAAACTCCACGTTTTTACAAGATTTTCAGACAGAAGAGAAGGTCTTAGGTTTAATCCCATCAATTTTTGGCCTTTTTTGTGGGTTTCAGCTCAGAAATATTCACCCTGATTGTCAGACTAGCACCTCATCATGTATTTGGGGGACATTTTGTTTAATTATCCAGATTTTTTAAAAATGTTTAGAATATCTATCTATCTACCTACCTACCCACCTACCTACCTACCTACCTACCTACCTACCTACCTACCTAC